GTGTCCCAGGTGAGTCATGCTCGTGTCCCAGGTGAGTCATGCTCGTGTCCCAGGTGAGTCATGCTCGTGTCCCAGGTGAGTCATGCTCGTGTCCCAGGTGAGTCATGCTCGTATCCCAGGTGAGTCATGCATGTGTCCCAGGTGAGTCATGCTCGTGTCCCAGGTGAGTCATGCTCGTGTCCCAGGTGAGTCATGCTCGTATCCCAGGTGAGTCATGCTCGTGTCCCAGGTGAGTCATGCTCGTGTCCCAGGTGAGTCATGCCATCTCGTCTCTCATGAGTCAGGCCATGTATCATTTATTGACCTATAATGTTATAGGTCGTATCATTAATGAAAGGTAACTTACATATCTTATTTTATTTCATGTATGTTGTTTACCTCGCAGGCCTCCTTACAGATCTTATATTGTTTTATTTCATGTATATTGCTTACCTCGCAGGCCTCCGCGCTCGCCCACGAAGCAATAGTGCTGCTGCTGGAGTTTAACCCCGACAGCGGGGCGCTGCTGGACTGGCTGGTGGAGCGCTGCTACACGGCCGAGCCTCATGTGGGCGACGAATGTTTCAACGCCCTCGCCACCATCTTCTCAGCACGGGAGTACCCGTGTGATAGATACACGGCCATCATGACCGTGTCACTGCTCTACACGGCCTGTCCTCGCTCTCCCATGCAGGAGACCGCACTACAGTTGCTGCAGGTCCTTGAGACGCGTTTCTTCGGTACCTCCTCGGCACTGTCCGAGCTGGGGGCGAGCACCACAGGGGCGGCATGCTCGACACTCGATGTCCTTCTGTCGACCACCTACTCGCGGTCACATGTCTTCCTCTCCAAGCAGTTAGCTCTCCTGCACCCCGAGCTCACCATGCCTATCTTCTCCGAGATAAGTTGCAGACTACAGACCGCCCGTCGGGGTCTTCGTCAGCTGCTCTTCAGCTGCCTCCTGCCGTGGCTCTTCAATATGGAGCTTGTGGACCCCGCGCTGCCCCCCGCACAGCCCCCCTGCTACGCCTACTACAGCGACGCTGGCGTCAGGAGGGAGGGCTGGGGGTCCGTGGAGGCCACGGAGATGGCGCTCAATAACCTCTTCTACATCACCGCTAAGGTAGAACTTTATGTTCACCTCTACTTATTTTATTGCATTCCGTGCCACGTGTTATCACAGTCATTTCCTTTATTCTTCCGGTTTTAGCAAAGGCAGAGATATCAATAGTTCTGATCAGTAATTACACACGAACTAAATACTAGATGTGTATAAGAGACAGGCAATACATTGTACNACTGGTGAATTTCCCTTACAATTATCATAATTATCTAATTATACAATTAGATAATTATGTTTCACTTCAATTATCTTTAATTTCAGTTTAATCAACATGAATTTAAGCTTAATCACCTCGAATTTCACTTAACTTGTCTTCAATTTAAGTTGGCTAACTATTTATAATAATATATTTATTAACAATATATATAACATAACAATAACATGATAATAAGTATATAACAATAATATAATAACATATAACATAGCAATAAGATAATAATACGTATGTATACATCAGTTTGGGGAGGAGCACCCACGGGAGGTGGGGGAGCTGTGGGCGGAGCTGTGCTCGTGCTGGCCTAACAACCTACGAGTCATCATCCGCTACCTGCTCATCGTCGTGGGCATGGCGCCCCAGCACCTCCTGCCCCATGTCAGTACCTTGTTAGAAAAAACAATTAATTAATTAATTTATATTGCTAGTATTTGAAATAGAAGACAGAATAGGGCAACTGAATTTAGGTTTGCTGTTTCGGAAGCGCAACAGATAGTTGAATTTCATTAGTGATATCCGTGGACTGCACAAGTGAAAAAACGGTCCCACTGGCGTTCTAGTGGCCGGTCGCCACGTGAAAAAACTACTGTTTCGCCGTTTTTATCAGACCTTTTACGGACTTCTAGTGTTAAATTATAATAAAAAAGGCGACACGGTATTTCTTTTCACGTGACGACCGGCCACTGAAACGGCGGTAATACCGTTAACGGTAATTTATCTAAAAGTGTTCCTCGTCTAATGACTTGTAACTAATTCTCGTAGTTGTCAGTACCTTCTAGTGGCTTGTAACTAGTGCTCGTAGTTGTCAGTACCTTCTAGTGACTTGTAACTAGTGCTCGTAGTTGTCTGTACCTCGTCTAGTGATTTGTAACTAGTGCTCGTAGTTGTCTGTACCTCGTCTAGTGACTTGTAACTAATCTCCACTACCATTATACAGGTTATATGAGGTAGTTTGCAGTTCACAAGGGCTTGTATGCAGTTCAAGGACGCCACACACATATTTATTTTCATCTGCATTAATGAAATACAGAGTTATAGCTTCTTTGCCTAATATTTTTACATTATTTAAGGAATTTTTTATTGACTCGAGTAGCGGTATAGCGCACGACACCCGTCGACAAACCGTTCTTTATTTTACTGCACAACTCAAGTTATTTGTTTAAACAGCCACTTTATTTAGACACTCATCATCAAGACGAAGTTTATACCATCATCAGAAGTTTATATCACCATCTGAATTACATCATCTTCATCAGCGTTATTCATGACGAGATTTTATATGCTTTATTTGGGGTGATGGTTGCTTGTGTTGTGCAGGCGCAGCGGGTGGCCGTGAGCCTGGGCATGGCTCGCCCTGACCGCCTCGTGGAGGAGCTCATGGTGGAGATGGGGTGTGTCGAGACTCTCTGTCTCATTGAAAGGACAGAGACGCCGCCCTTCTTCAGGTAGATGGGGTGTGTCGAGACGCTCTGTCTCATTGAGAGGACAGAGACGCCGCCCTTCTTCAGGTAGCGCCTCTTACAGCTCTTTAGTAACCTCACTGCCCCCGCGGTTCAATGTGTGTTACACAATTATTTGTAATCCCGGAGTTGTTGAAAATTGCCATGAATTTTTTTTAAGCTGCAGTTCATACGCTGTATTTGTGTTTACTTCGCTTGTTTATCTGTCTTGAATTGACTTTGGCAGAGTTATTGATGCTGCTGCGTTACAGGGTGACGGTGACCAGGAAGTACAGCGGGGGCGAGGAGCCAGCGGCTGCTGCTGCTGCAGGAGAAGGGGGCGCTGCAGAGGGCGCTGAAGGAGTGGACGGCAGCGCTGCAGGGACGGTCAGCGAGGCTGGAACTCTGCACACCAAACGACACTCCGGGGACCATCACGACATTGCCGCCGTGTTCGTATTTCCTTCATAAACTATTCTTAATTATTATATAGTTTAAAGTTTACATAGTTTATCCTGTACCCTGGTAGCATCACAAGGTCTTATTGTTGTACCTGGGACGCATGTTGGAATTCTAATATATAGTGCTCAAAGGTGCTTGTGGCCGGAGACAAGTCCTTTCCAGCTGTGATTGGTTGAGAGGTCATTCTCTCCAGGCTGTAATTGGTTGATAGGGTCATGATCTCATGCTATCCAGACTGTGATTGGTTGATAGGTCATTCTCTCCAGACTGTAATTGGTTGATAGGGTCATGATCTCATGCTATCCAGACTGTGATTGGTTATGGGATCGTGATGTCATCTTATCCAGAATACGATTGGCTATGCAATGGCCTTTCCATAGGTCATTTAAAAACCCTCTAGAATTTCATCATGCCTGGGAGCGATCAATGTCTATAGTATGAGGTGTTGATATAAGTGCTCATGAGCATTGAATATTTCTCATTTCTAACCCCCGTGCCTGAAGTGATCCGCAATTTGCCATTAATTTCTTGTCCTTTGCACTTTAAAAAAGAATGAAGAAAATGTCATATCAGCAGCGAATTTTGTAGGCCAACTGGCCAACACTTCAGCAAAATCTCAAGTTAAACAATGACCCCAATTTGGTGTCGAGGTGCGAACTTTTCTCAACAAAATTATTTATTACCTCGAGAGATAAGAGTGGTAATGTTTATCTCCCGACAGCCGTGGTGAGCAGCGCAGTGCTCCAGGTTCGTTACGGTCAGTGTCGAGCCTGGGCTCGGCCGTGTCGAGCGTTATAGCCGTGGACTTATTACCTCGTGGGAACAAGAGTGGTAATGTTTCAGTAATCACTCAAGTCAACAATGACCCCAATAGTTTATTGGTGTCGATCTACGAACTACCTCCTGCAGCAGCACGACACTCGTGCCCTGCAGCACCCGCAGGTCCTCCCCACACATATGGCCTCTAATGAAGGGGAAGATGGTGCCCCCTTGTATGAGCCTCCCCAGCCCCACCCGCTGCCCATGCCTGAGTACGGCGGCTACTTCGCTCCTCTCACGGAGTACCTGCCCGACAGCTCCCTGCCCATCACTGCCTTCCACAGGTACATAGTACCTGCACTTCTGATAGAGCTCATGACTTATTGAACTCAATAATATATGGTTTTATCACTGCCCTAAACAGGTCCATTGTTACGGTATGTTAACTTCTAATAGATCCCATGACTTGTTTAGATCAATAATGGAGGTGTTATGCCCATCACAGCGTTCCACAGGTCTTGTACCAGCACTTCTTATAGAGCCCATGACTTGTTTAGATCAATAATAGATGATGTTATCCCTTCCTTCCACAGGCCCCTTGTTATATTATCTTATTATAAATCCCATAACTTATTGAGTTCGATAATGAGACGTGTTTGGTTTCGCTGCCTTCGATTTCCGATTGTTTATGAAGTCTTTCCTGATGATAATATTTATTTACCAAACAGAGGTGAACCTCGATGCTGAATATATTTTGTTTTGATACATATGGATATTATGCAGCATGACGACCATGCAGCTTGTGTGATGATCGCACTGCTAGTGTAATGAATGATGATGAATGAATGTAAGTTACGTCATGACGGACGCAAATCACTTCGTCCTGCTGCTCCTTTTTGCCTGACTCCTGATGTCTGCTCAGATGTTACCTGAGCGTGCCTGTTACCTGCTCAGATGTTGCCTGAGCGTGCCTGTTACCTGCTCAGATGTTACCTGAGCCTGCCTGTTACCTGGTCAGATGTTACCTGAGCCTGCCTGTTACCTGCTCAGATGTTACCTGAGCCTGCCTGTTACCTGCTCAGATGTTACCTGAGCGTGCCTGTTACCTGCTCAGATGTTACCTGAGCCTGCCTGTTACCTGGTCAGATGTTACCTGAGCCTGCCTGTTACCTGGTCAGATGTCACCTGAGCCTGCCTGTTACCTGGTCAGATGTTACCTGAGCGTGCCTGTTACCTGCTCAGATGTTACCTGAGCGTGCCTGTTACCTGACGTGTTCGTATTTCCTACGTGTCATAAACTTAAATACTTACTTGTTTCCGTGTCATAAACTATTCTTAATTATAGCTATGCTCTCGTAGTTTATCCTGTACCCTGGTAGCATAATAAGGCCCTGGGGGGCAATACTTTCAAAGCTCGGCTAAGTGAACGTAAGTACTTTATTTACTTTACGTAAGTACTTTATTTATATACACTAAGTGAACGTAAGTACGCTTTATTTTCTTGTCTGTGATTGGTGGATTTTGCTTGAAAGGCCGTCAATGATTGGCGGATGAACTTACGATCTCTTTACTTTTTTTTAAAGTATAGGCCCTGTTGTAGTATCTGGGAGCGATAAATATCTATAATGAGAGTAGGTGTTGATATTAGTACTCATGAGCATTGGATATTTCTCATTGCTAACCCTCGTGCCTGAAGTGATCCGCAATTTGCCACTAATTTCTTATCCTTGGCACTCGAAGAGAGTAAAAAAATGTCATTTCAGCAGCGAATTTTCTATGCCAACACTTCAGTAATCACTCAAGTCTAACAATGGCTCCAATAGTTTATCGGTGTCGCGGTGCGAACTTTTCTCAACAGTATGACTTATTACCTCGTGGGAACAAGAGTGGTAATGTTTCAGTAATCACTCAAGTCAACAATGACCCCAATAGTTTATTGGTGTCGATCTACGAACTTTTCTCAACAAAATGACTTATTACCTCGAGAGATAAAAGTGGTAATGTATATCTCCCGACAGCCGTGGCGAGCAGCGCAGTGCGCCAGGTTCGTTACGGTCAGTGTCGAGCCTGGGCTCGGCCGTGTCGAGCGTTATAGCCGTGGACTGTACGGCCACGGTGACGTCGTGTGGTGCCGTCACCACCACGGCCACGACGTGTGGTGCCACCAACCAGCGGTCCTGTTCCTCTCGTCCTGCCTCATCACTGGCGCCCAACTCAGCTGCCACCTCCAACAACTGGGAGGACTCTGCTAATGAAGTTAGTGCGATGTCAAATCTTTGCGTGCTCATGTAGTTTCTTTCTAGAGATACGTTGATATTTACAGCGACTATAAACATTTTTAGTGCTGATTTAGTTTCCATTCTAGAGATCCGTTGGTATTTACATATATAGTGTATATGTATTGTATCTATAGTGTTCGATTGATTAGGTTCATACGCTGCCAAGATCGTTTGATGTCGTTGCAGTTTTATTGTTAAAAATTGTTGATATTTATAGCGACTATAGTGCTCTGCTAATGAGGCCCGTACGAAGTCAAGATCTTTGGGTGCGGATGTATGTAGTGTCATTCCAGCGACCTGTTGATATTTCTAGCGACTTGCAGGAACGCGTGAATGAGGCACTCGTGCTGCCGCCCCCAAAATGCTTGTAGCTTCGGACGGGTTTGACCAATTATTGCAAAACATGGACTGCCGGTGCAGCAGCCTGATTACGGCAGTAGACGCTAGTCGGGCTATTTGCTGCGGCAAACTGCGTATATATTATACAGTTGTTTTGTGTCAAGAATTTTAAATGTTGGCTCTGGCTTTGTCAGATTCAGAGTGAGTAGCTTAATTTTCAGTGAAATTATTATTTGGTTTTGATTGTTTATTGGTGATGCTGTTCATAAATTTCCCCTTGTATTATATGTCTTACAAAGTCTTATTCAAGCATTAGCGCATTTTCTCATTTATGGAAAAAAAGGCGCTATTTTGCGCGTCATGTCCGTCCGTCCGTCTGTCTGTCCGTCCGTGACTTCACGTTTTCATCGACGAGAAAATGCTCTCTCTGTCACTCACTGCAGTGAGTACTGAGTTATATTTTTTTAATTTTGCTCAGGACGCTGCGGACGACAACTTCACTCTCATGCGACGAGCGCAGAAGCAGCAGCAGCAGCAAGACTCCCGCCTCCTGCAGCAGCACGACACTCGTGCCCTGCAGCACCCGCAGGTCCTCCCCACACATATGGCCTCTAATGAAGGGGAAGATGGTGCGCCCTTGTATGAGCCTCCCCAGCCCCACCCGCTGCCCATGCCTGAGTACGGCGGCTACTTCGCCCCTCTCACGGAGTACCTGCCCGACAGCTCCCTGCCCATCACTGCCTTCCACAGGTCCCTTATATTAACTTCTTATAGATCCCATGACTTGTTTAGATCAATAATGAATGATGTTATCACTGCCTTAAACAGGTCCCTTGTACCTGCACTTCTTATATAGATCCCATGACTTATTGAACTCAATAATAGATGGTTTTATCACTGCCCTAAACAGGTCCATTGTTACGGTATATTAACTTCTAATAGATCCCATGACTTGTTTAGATCAATAATAGATGATGTTATCACTGCCTTCCACAGGTCCCTTGTTATGTTAACTTCTTATAGATCTCATGACTTATTGAGCTCAATAATGAATGATGTTATCACTGCCTTCCACAGGTCCCTTGTTATATGCCTGTTACCTGCTCAGATGTTACCTGAGCGTGCCTGTTACCTGGTCAGATGTTACCTGAGCCTGCCTGTTACCTGGTCAGATGTTACCTGAGCCTGCCTGTTACCTGTTCAGATGTTACCTGAGCGTGCTGCTGATGTGCGAGGTGCTGGTGGCCGGGGTGGACGTGGACTGCCACAGCGTGGACTGGAGCATCCACGTGCCCCTCATGCTGCACATCGCAGTCCTGGGGCTCGACCATGCCCGCCCCATCGTCCACGAGCACTGTCAGTATTGTGACGGAGATAAAGATATAGTATAACTAAGATAGTGATAACGTGATAACGAGCACTGTGAGTGATGTGACTTAATAATGATAACTAAGATAGTGATAACGTGCTGGTGATAACTAAGATAGTGATAACGAGCACTGTGAGAGATATGATTAAGATAAAGATAACTAAGATAGTGATAACGAGCACTGTGAGAGATGTGACTGAGATAGTGATGACTTAAATAGTGATAACGAGCACTGTGAGAGATATACTAGCCAAGATAGTGATAACTAAGATATTGATAACGTGATAACGAGCACTGTGAGAAATATAACTTAGATAAAGATAACGTGATAACTATCACTGTGAGAGATATAACTAAGATAGTGATAACGAGAAGTGATAACGTAACTAAGATAGTGATAACGAGAAGTGATAACGTAACTAAGATAGTGATAACGAGAAGTGATAACGTAACTAAGATAGTGATAACGAGAAGTAATAACGTAACTAAGATAGTGATAACGAGAAGTGATAACGTAACTAAGATAGTGATAACTAAGATAGTGATAACTAAGATAGTGATAACTAAACACAAGTGATAACTTAACTTAGATAGTGATAACTTAACTTAGATAGTGATAACTTAACTTAGATAGTGATAACTTAACTTAGATAGTGATAACTTAACTTAGATATTGATAACTTAACTTAGATATTGATAACTTAACTTAGATATTGATAACTTAACTTAGATAGTGATAACTTAACTTAGATAGTGATAACTTAACTTAGATATTGATAACTTAACTTAGATATTGATAACTTAACTTAGATAGTGATAACTTAATGCCAAAATGGTGATTAGATAGTAAGGTTCACGTCGTCGAACACTATAGGGCGCTAGTGTTGTTCAGGTGGGATCTCTTAGCCAGCTGCTCGGAAGTTCAGTCTCGAATATTTTTTCTGGTTAGAAGATATTTTTTCAGAGACCATAAAGATTTGAATTAGATGAGCATGCGACGCAAAACCAAAGCAAGGAAATGTGTTGTATTTCAGCAGGGCTCTGAAAATATTTCGTCGACATCCACTTGTGCGGCTCACCTTATTTAGTTGTGTCCAATATCTAGTACGTATTGATAATGTATATTTCACTAACTGTCAATTTCTCGGAATTGCTGTTCTATATTCGAGGCTTGTTTCTGAATTAATTTCATTTTTATATGCATTCATTTCAGAATTTTTTATCAATTTCATTGACTATATTATTAGTACTTTATCTTGCCAATCCGAACATTTAAATTAAGTGTTGCAGTTTTCTATTAGGACACATATATGTAGGTATACATAATAACCTTAGTGTAATGATTGTTAATATATATTGATGAAATTTAAATTATCATAATGATAGTAATTTGGTATTAATTATTGTTTACCTTATTGTAATGATAGTAATTTACTACTAATTATTGATGTCAGGCAAGCGTCTGCTGGTGCACCTGCTGACGGTGCTGGGGGACCACAGGGACCACCTCGGCATCGCGCGCGTCCTCCTCAACAGGAAGACCACAGCCCTGGGATACAAGCTCATCCCGCACACCGCCCCCCTCACCCCCACCGACTACACTGGTAATGTCATCCCACACACCGCCCCCCTCACCCCCACCTACTACACTGGTAATGTCATCCCTCACACCGGCCCCCTCACCCCCACCGACTACACTGGTAATGGCTCATCAAAGATCTTGTGGTATTATTTCAGGGATACGAAAAACGAATCTCATCGTAAGATAGTGTAAAGTTAGATAAAATGTTATAAGCATAAAGATATAAGATTTCAGTAATACGAAAACCGAATCTCATTGTAAACCAATGTAAATTTAGATAAGATTGTTATAAGAGATACAATATAAGATTTCAGGGATATGAAAACCGAAACTCATCGTAAGATAATGCAAATATAGATAAGAAAGATATAAGAGATACGATATGTAAGATACAAGATTTCGGGGATACGAAAAATGAATCTCATTGTAAGATAATTTTAATTTAGATAAGAATGATATAAGAGATACAATGTAAGATATAAGATTTCAGGGTTACGAAAAACCGGATGTCATCGTAAACCAATGTAAATTAAAATAAGGATGATATAAGAGATACAATATAAGATTTCAGTGATAAGTAGAACAAATCTCATCATAAACTAATGAAAAATGTAGATAAAATGATATTTTATTTTCCTTTGTACCATCGAGCAGAGCCATCAACGGACGACTCTCAGCGCACGACACCGCCCCTCGCCTCCCCTGTCGGGCGCCACGACTCCTCCTGTGTCACCTCCAAGGGCCTCACCACCACCACGCCCCACGACGTGGTCACGTCACTAGACGCTGAGATGAGCGACGAGGACGACGATGTTGCTGGTGTGCTGGGTGATGACAATGACGCCACTATAACAGAAGGGACGGCAGGGACGATAGAAGGGACGGCAGGGTCTGGACGGCACTCGGACGAGCTGCAGAAGAACATCAAGGGCATCATAGACTTCATGGCGGCGCACGAGGGGCAGCCGCTGTGGAGCTACGAGGACATCACACCCAAGCAGCTCACCATACGCAGCGCTCAGCAGCTCGCTTGCTTCGTCAGGCACATCGTAGCTGTACGTCTTGTTATATCCCTTTATTTATACCATCTTTTATCCCTCCATTTATAATATCTTTTTTACATATATACTATCCCTTTTATATCTCTCATCCCCACATTTCTACGAATTTTTATACCCCCGAGTCTTGTATATATTAGTTCCCCCGAGTCTTGTATATATTAGTTCCCCCGAGTCTTGCATATATTAGTTCCCCCGAGTCTTGTATATATTAGTTCCCCCGAGTCTTGTATATATTAGTTCCTCCGAGTCTTGTAAATACAGTATTATATTGTGTAGCTAAGTCTCATTTATTGTGTAGCTGCTGAGCGCGTCGCTGCCTCACAGCCACCTGGAGGAGCGTCTCGCGCAGATCGCCCTCCACCTCGCCCTCAGCTGCTCCTCCAGACACTACGCCGGCCGCTCCCTGCAGGTCAGTCATAACAAAGTCTCTCATTAATTAAACTTGTTTGATTAAAAGTTTATTCCCGGGCATGAACTCTCTCAGCTTTGTGTGAGATTTGCCTCCTGCAAACCTGGTTCTGGTTTTCTTTACAAGGAGTCGAGCAGTTTACTTGAGTTTAGTTAGCCTACGAGGTAAACAATGAGTCGTGCAGTTTAGAAGATAAACAAGGAGTCAAGTAGTTTACTTGAGTAAACAAAGAGTTAAGTAGTTTACTTGAATTTTGCTCATACTGCACCAATAGCACCCTATTTACTACTGCACTGCTAGTTACTAGTGCGCTGCTATAGTTACTACTGCACTGCTAGTTAGTAGTTACTAGTGCAATGCTAGTTACTTGACCACTGATGAGTGATGTCTCTGCAGGTGCTGCGCTGCCTGCACGTGTCTCTGTCGTCGCGGATGTTGTCAGAGCTGCTAGGGCGGCTGGTAGAGACCGTGGCAGAGCAGGGGGAGGACATGCAGGGCTACGTCACAGAGCTCATGCTCACTCTCGAGGCCGCCGTCGACGCTCTGCATTCCGATTTCCGGTACGCCTTTTATTTCTTTAGAATTTATTTTGTCTTCTGAGTTACACGCTTTTGGCTATATTTGAAATACCCGTCGCGTTTAGCCATTTATGTTAAAAATAAATATAATTTGATTCCATCTTTGCAGCTATTTCGGTTAAAAATAAATATAATATAATTTATCGTGTCTTCTCAGTTTCACGCTTTTTGGCTACATTTGAAATACTCGTCGTGTTTAACCATTCATGTTAAAAATGAATATAATTTGAATCCATCTTTGCAGCCATTTTAGTTAAAATTAACATAATATAATACTATATACGTAATATAAAAAATAAATATCTCTAATATAATCCTTGCAGTAACCACCTTAATTAGTTAGACGAAATCTAAGTTGTGTTGTTACAGGCCCATCGAGTTCGTACGAGAGCTGTTCAAGTCGACGCCTAACTTAAACAAGGACCGCAAGACCGGGGGCACCACGGGGGTCTTGGGGGCCACCAGCTGGAGTCACTACCCCCCACTTCACCGCTGCGGGGTCCCCCACCCCAGTTATCCCCCCGGGTCCCCAGGACACCTTCGGTCCACATCCTTCTCCGCCTCCTACGCCAGGGGCAAGCAGCATCAGCAGCACCCTGCTGCTGCCGCTGACATAAGAGGTGTTCAGGAGAATAAGTTTATATTAGGGGAAACTAATATAATATCTATCCCACTAACCTTAAAATTAGGTTTATATTAGGGAAAACTAATACGTATAATATATATCCGACTATCCTTGAAAATATCTTTTATTTTCAGGAGGGTTAGGTTTATATTAGGCAAAGCCAAAATAATGTCTATCACCATTAACCTTTAAAACGTTTTTTATTTAGTGGATTACAAGTGTAGATCCTAATATTATCAGTGTAGATCCTAAGGAAGTAAAAGTTCGCTTTGTGCAGATGATTTATTGATATATTGAAGTGGTATGTAGCTATTAACATTAAAAATGTTTTTTTATTTAGTGTAATATGAGGATGTAATTTAGTGTAATAAGGATGTACGTATAAGATGTAAATGTGCAAATGATTTATTGATACATTATAGTGATAGTGTATATGGTGAGCTGTAGTAGATCGTAAGGAAATATAAATATACTTTGCTGCAGATTATTTATTGATACATTATAGTTGTATGTGTTAAGCTATATTAAACATGATGTGCAGGCGAGATGCGTGGTCGCAGCGGCACAGACGCAGACGCGCGGTACCGTCAGCAGCAGGCGACTGCAGGCTGACCAGACCAATGATGACAAATATACCGTGAGTAATCATTTCAAGCGCAATCAAAAGCGCTTAGTATAATAAGACACCACCAACTATTTTATTGAAACGCTGTCAGAAGCGTATAGAAATAAGGCATCATCAAGTCCATGCTATTGATACGCTGTTAAAAGCGCATAGTCTTAGACCACAAGCAAGTCTATGTTATTGATACGCCGTGAGAAGCGCTTATCCATAAAGCACCACCAACTATGTTATTGAAACGCTGTCAAAAGCGCTTAGTAATAAGGCACCACGTACTCCAAGTCATTGATATGTTGTTAAAAGCACTTAGCCATATAGAGCACCACCTAGTCTATGTTATTGATACGCTGTTAAAAGCGCCTAGCCAAAATGCACCACTAACTCCATGATATTCAGCTCTACAGCCGTTCACTGCTTCGATATATTTCCNCAACGGTCATGACTAAACGCGATATAACATTCCAAACATCAAAACAAGAAAATGACACAAAAGAGTTTGAAACAGCAAGGAAATTCGCAACAGGGAAGAATGTTAGAGAAAATCAAAAATGTGTACATAACAAAAATAAATAACGTGACGGAAGGATCCGTAGCTGAAGTTAAAGCAATCCGGGAACCTGTCTCTTATACACATCTAGATGTGTATAAGAGACAGCTTCTTCAACAGCACTGCCGGAATTCCGTCGGGTCCTGGCGCTGCTGTCTCTTATACACATCTAGATGTGTATAAGAGACAGGCATAAATCAACGTACAGAGATGATTTTGGTACCGTTGGATAGAGCAGAATGTCAGCTTTAAGATGAGACTAAAAACCGGAAAAGCCAAAATTCAAGAATTTTGGTCAAACGCTCCCCTTAAATCAAATACTTACAGTTTTAATAAAAATCACATTTAAAATACTAGAACCGGCGTACCAAACAAGTTCATGAAGAATAAGCTGAAAAAAGCGTCTAGAAGACTGACACAAGATCTATCATAGAGCCACAAGATGAAGCAATAGAGCGCGAGACTGCAACTTGCTTACCGACCATGTAGCTGCCGCTGAAGTAAGATCGGAATGTCATGTTACCGAGGCGGCTACACCATACGCTGTGCAACAATAATACCGTCTGTAGTCACTACAATAAAAAATCACATTGAATGGCTCTATGAATGCTGGCAGTGAAACGACGCATAATAGATAACGATCTTTTTCGTTGACATTATCATCAAGGTATCAATATTTTGTTGCAGCTGGAGCGCCTGCAGCAGTGAATAGTGGTAATGAAACGAGGGATACTAGAAAACTATATTATTCGTTGATATAATCATAATCTTAATGTATTATAATATTTTCACAGTTGGAGCGACTGCACCAGTGAATACTGGTAATGAAACGAGGGACAATAGAAAACTATATTATTTGTTGACATAATCATCATGTTAATATATAATAACATTATGTCGCAGTTGGAGCGGCTGCAGCAGCAGCTGAAATGGCGCGGGTTCCCCGGCGTGCACGCGCTGCTGCTGAAGGGCTGCACCTCCCCCACCCTGTACGAGCCCTGCCTCACCCTCCTGTCCCGCCTCACCCGCTACACCCACCTGCAGGTGAGCCTGCCTTATTGACCTTATGACCTTATGATGAGTTTAGGATGTCATAGTCCCCGGTCACGCTGATTCGCCGCCTTCGTCGTCCTCCGTCTTCGAGTCGTCGCTAGGCAGGTCACCCCGCCCTCGGTTCCCGGATGTAACGCTGGACGTGTTCCGTCTATTTGCCCTCCTTTGGGCCAGCTGATGCAAGATGCTGTTGCTTGTCAATTGCTGAGGGTAGTTTCCCATTACTGGACAATCCGGGATCTTTCTCAGCCACTTGTCCAGTCGTCTCTTGAATGTTGCAAGGGTGAACTCCCCTACTCTCAGCGCTTTTGGCAAGGCATTAAAGAGCCTCGGTCCTACCACGGACAGTGATCCCTCACGAAGAGTCTGTACTCTGGCAGTGGCTCAGCTATTAAATGGGGGGAACCTCGCACCGTCTCCCTCTTCTTTCATTGTAACGTGACACTATTCTTCAGGTCTCACTTTCAAAGTTGGGAGCCAGTCCGGTTATCATCTTCCAAGTGTACAGTATGATATACCTTTCTCTTCTCCTCTCCACTGAGTACAGCCCCAGGTGTTTCAGCCTTTCCAAGTAGTTTAGGTTCAGCTTCTCATGCCGCTGATCCTGTACGTGAAGGTCCGCTGCACTGCCTCCAGTTTCCGTACCGCAATCGCCTTGAGTGGCGACCAAAGTTGACAGCAATACTCAAGATTGGGGAGCACGAGGGCTCTGAAGAGTGTAATCATTGAAGCTTTTCTAGTTCGAAATGTCCGCATATATATCCACCCCATCCGTTGCCGGCTGCGCGCGACTATTTCCTCGATATGGGCATCGAAGTACTCATTCAGTACTCATCAACAGTACTCATTCAGTACTCATTCAGTACTCATCAACACTCCGAGATCTCGAACTAGTTGCTTCTCCTCAATTTCTGTGCCATCTGATGCCAAGTAGCGATGTGGCATCCCGATCTCTGTGCGGACTCTGTATCTCATTACTTCGAACTTGGTGCCGTTGAACTGCATATTGTTCACTAGGGCCCAATCGTAGATTGACGATAGATCATCCTGTAACCTCTCGCAGTCTAGGCCATCTGTGATCTTCATCAGCACTCTTGTATCGTCCGCAAATGACGATGTAGATGCGTGGGTGAGTTCTGAGTCAATGTNAGAGAACATCGCGCAGGTCAGCCAGGTATGTGGTGTGCTCTGCATGCAGGCTGCAGAGAACATCGCGCAGGTCAGCCAGGTATGTGGTGTGCTCTGCATGCAGGCTGCAGAGAACATCGCGCAGGTCAGCCAGGTATGTGGTGTGCTCTGCATGCAGGCTGCAGAGAACATCGCGCAGGTCAGCCAGGTATGTGGTGTGCTCTGCATGCAGGCTGCAGAGAACATCGCGCAGGTCAGCCAGGTATGTGGTGTGCTCTGCATGCAGGCTGCAGAGAACATCGCGAAGGTCAGCCAGGTATGTGGGGTGCTCTGCATGCAGGCTGCAGAGAACATCGCGCAGGTCAGCCAGGTATGTGGTGTGCTCTGCATGCATGATCTATCATGCTGTAGAAGGAGAATTAATCTATCATGCTGTAGATGATAAAAAGCTCAGTAAATGCTGGTTTTGATTAAACAATAACAGTTCAAAAATGATTCGTATAAAATACTAGAACAAGCTCCTCTCATACTCATGTGTTGGCAAGTTAACATCCACACCACACGACGAATAAACCTCGCACTTATATTGCACCAATTTGCACTGCACTTTACCGGACTGCACTGTATCGCACTACATTGGATCAAATTGCACTGTATTGCACTACATTGCATCACATTGCACTGTATTTGCACTGCACTGCATCGCACTACATTGTATCACACTGCACTGCACTGTATCGCTGTGTGCAGGAGTGCAGTGACGAAGGCAAGCAGCTGCAGAACCTGGCGACGGTGATGACGCTCTACAGCCGCCGCACCTTCAGCAAGGAGAGCTTCCAGTGGACCAAGTGCGTCGTCAAGTACCTGCACGACTCCTACGGCGCACAGGCGCCCGCCCTGCTCGCCTTCCTTGTCGAGGTAGGCGCTACATGCCCCTAGCTCTGCATTCTTGCCGGCATCCTTTCATTTACTCCAAGCACGGACATTCTTCTAATGCTGGAGAGCATAACAATATTCCCAACCGCTCTCGGTTTTTCTTTTATTAAGCGCTGGGCAGGGAATTCCGTGCCCAGTGAGTCCAGGCCTTGTCGTGCCATAGGTAAATGGTCCATGAAAGTTTTATGAAGGAACAATGTGCTGCTCAAAATTGCTGCAGTTCTCCTAACCCCTCACTACGTGTAGCTCCTCAAGAGGCCATGTTTGAATAATAATATCACGAGTCCTTCTCACAGAGCTGTGAAATCAGTGTACAATTTTCGAAATTTGTCATCGGTCGTGTTTGATCATTTATTTTTATGCCAACTATGCACTATATAATATTCAAGAAAAAAATATAACTCAGTACCACTGCAGTGAGTGACAGAGAGCGCATTTTCTCGTCGACGCAAACGTAAAGTCACGGACGGACGGACAGACGGACATGGCGAGCACAATGGTTCATTTTTTCCATAAATGAGAAAATGCTGTAAAAAGTTATTTTCATCAATTGTTAGAGGTACTATAATTGTTGACGTCACCAGATCCTGGAGAAGGGTCCGAGCTGGGCGCAGTGTCCCGTGCTGAACATCGTCTACTGCCTCCTGCACTACACGGACATCTGCGGCCACACCTCGCCCCACCTCCTCGCTGCCATTGCCAGCCACTTGGAGGTCTGTAATGCTTATGGCTTAACTCATCATATTTACTTAATTACAACATTTAAATGATATTGATCTCCTCGCTGCCATTGCCAGCCACTTGGAGTTGGAGGTCTTGTAATGCTTATGGCTTAACTGATGATATTTACTTAATTACAACATTTAAATGATATTGACCTGTTCGCTGCCATCGCCAGCCACTTGGAGGATAGTCTTTCTCATTGAATATCTGCTAATACTTGCTTAATAACGATGTTTATCAGATTTACACCAGCTTGTCGCTATTGCTAGCCACTTGGATATCTGTCATTCTTGTTGCTTCCCTTAACAATATTCCTTTAAAAGAACTCGTGTTTATTTCGTCTGTTATTTAATAACCGATCACTGCGGATATCTTCACATAATCTCGGACGCAACGCTTTACTTGTTCATCATTTAAAAACTCTCATTGCATCTTCGAGACAAATGTGCGTTTTTCTACAATTTTTTGAAAACCTTGATATTTGAAGTAGATAAATCAGAACTTGAATACCTTCTGAACTAAATATCTATTTAATACCAATATATCTAATAAATATCACTATTTATATCTGAATCTAAATACTACTTACCTAAATACGATGTAGTTATAAACACACTGGTGCAATACTTACGTTGTGATGCCCTGGGTATCAGGCACGTTGTTATTCCCTGGGTATCGGGCACGTTCTGATGCCCTGGGTATCGGGCGCGCTGTGATGCCCTGGGTATCGGGCACGCTGTGATGCCCTGGGTATCGGGCACGCTGTGATGCCCTGGGTATCCGGCACGCTGTGATGCCCTGGGTATCGGGCGCGCTGTGATGCCCTGGGTATCGGGCACGCTGTGATGCCCTGGGTATCCGGCACGCTGTGATGCCCTGGGTATCGGGACCTCCCCCACCAGGAGCGCCGACCTCCTCGACCAGGTTCCTCTCATCTACACCAAGAAGGAACTACCAGGTTAGTGCCTCATCTACTCGTCTACCTCTGCCTATAATGCGTTCATCTATTCGTCTACCTCTACCTACAATGAATTCGTCTACCTCTACCTATAATTCAATGAATTTACAATGAATTCGTCTACCTCTACCTATAATGTGTTCATCTACTCGTCTACCTCTACCTATAATGTGTTCATCTACTCGTCTACCTCTACCTATAATGTGTTCATTTACTCGTCTACCTCTACCTATAATGTGTTCATTTACTCAATTATTGTACGTACAGGCCGCACCATGGAGTTCTCATAACTATTGTATGTACAGGCCGCACCATGGAGTTCTACTAATAACTATTGTATGTACAGGCCGCACCATGGAGTTCTACTCATAACTGTTGTATGTACAGGCCGCACCATGGAGTTCTACTCATAACTATTGTATGTACAGGCCGCACCATGGAGTTCTACTCATAACTATTGTACGTACAGGCCGCACCATGGAGTTCTACTCATAACTATTGTACGTACAGGCCGCACCATGGAGTTCTCATAACTATTGTACGTACAAGTTGCACCATGGAGTTCTTATAACTATTGTACGTACAGGCTGCACCATGGAGTTCTACTCATAACTATTGTATGTACAGGCCGCACCATGGAGTTCTTATAACTATTGTACGTACAGGCCGCACCATGGAGTTCTTATAACTATTGTACGTGCAGGCCGCACCATGGAGTTCTCATAACTATTGTACGTACAGGCCGCACCATGGAGTTCTTATAACTATTGTACGTACAGGCCGGCACCATGGAGTTCTCATAACTATTGTACGTACAGGCCGCACCATGGAGTTCTCATATCTATTGTACGTACAGGCCGCACCATGGAGTTCTTATAACTATTGTACATACAGGCCGCACCATGGAGTTCTCATAACTATTGTACGTACAGGCCGCACCATGGAGTTCTACTCATAACTGTTGTACGCACAGGCCGCACCATGGAGTTCTTATAACTATTGTACGTACAGGCCGCACCATGGAGTTCACCTTCGACGTGACCGAGACGCCGGTGATCGGACGGCGGCTCCTGACGCAGACGTCGACCACCGCCGCCGCCCCTGAGGGCGCTGCTGCAGGTGCTGCCCATTTTACTACTGCCTATTTTACTAATTTTAGTAAATAGTTTAGTTTTTTTTACTACTGCCTATTTTTCTAATTTTAGTAAATAGTTTAGTTTTTTTACTACTGCCTATTTTACTAATTTTAGTAAATAGTTTTTTTTACTACTGCCTATTTACTAATTTTAGTAAATAGTTTACTTTTTTTACTATTCCCTATTTACTATTTACACTGCAACAAGTTACACAGCCAATTACACTATTTACTATTAAACTCTCAACATTTACACTCCAACGAGTTACACTACAGCCAATTACACTATCAATTATGCTCAAGCCAAATAACTTGAGTGTAAAATTCTGTATAATTTGCACCTCATTGTTATACCTTGCAGTTGCGCTGCAACATATGATGCAATATTCAATGTAATAAATAATATAATAATATTATTTAAAGTCTCCCCCAACGGTCCCCTTGACGAGGGGGCGATGAGGGCGGCTGATGATAATATTTATAAATAAATAAATGATATGTAATAATTCAATGGATATATAAATAATAAATGATAATAACTAAAATAATAGCAATAAGTAAGGCAAGTCCCCGCCGTGCAGGCGCCGTGAGCGACGTCCCCGACGCGGCGAGCCTGGCGTCCCCACGTCGCTGCTCCGTCGCCCCTGGGGACACCCTGCCCTCCTGTCTCTTATACACATCTAGATGTGTATAAGAGACAGATGGAGTTCTACTCATAACTATTGTACGTGCANCTGGCAGAGTCAGGTGGGACCTGTAGCATCTCTGGCAGAGTCAGGTGGGACCTGTAGCATCTCTGGCAGAGTCAGGTGGGACCTGTAGCATCTCTGGCAGAGTCAGGTGGGACCTGTAGCATCTCTGGCAGAGTCAGGTGGGACCTGTAGCATCTCTGGCAGAGTCAGGTGGGACCTGTAGCATCTCTGGCAGAGTCAGGTGGGACCTGTAGCATCTCTGGCAGAGTCAGGTGGGACCTGTAGCATCTCTGGCAGAGTCAGGTGGGACCTGTAGCATCTCTGGCAGAGTCAGGTGGGACCTGTAGCATCTCTGGCAGAGTCAGGTGGGACCTGTAGCATCTCTGGCAGAGTCAGGTGGGACCTGTAGCATCTCTGGCAGAGTCAGGTGGGACCTGTAGCATCTCTGGCAGAGTCAGGTGGGACCTGTAGCATCTCTGGCAGAGTCAGGTGGGACCTGTAGCATCTCTGGCAGAGTCAGGTGGGACCTGTAGCATCTCTGGCAGAGTCAGGTGGGACCTGTAGCATCTCTGGCAGAGTCAGGTGGGACCTGTAGCATCTCTGGCAGAGTCAGGTGGGACCTGTAGCATCTCTGGCAGAGTCAGGTGGGACCTGTAGCATCTCTGGCAGAGTCAGGTGGGACCTGTAGCATCTCTGGCAGAGTCAGGTGGGACCTGTAGCATCTCTGGCAGAGTCAGGTGGGACCTGTAGCATCTCTGGCAGAGTCAGGTGGGACGTGTAGCATCTCTGACAGAGTCAGGTGGGACCTGTAGCATCTCTGGCAGAGTCAGGTGGGACGTGTAGCATCTCTGACAGAGTCAGGTGGGACGTGTAGCATCTCTGACAGAGTCAGGTGGGATGTGGGCTCATATGTAGCATCTCTGGCAGAGTCAGGTTGGACATGGGCTCAAATGTAGCATCTCTGTCAGAGTCAGGTGGGACGTGGGCGCGTATATAGCATCTCTGGCAGTCCCTGGTAGACTGATGGAAATGTTGTGGTGGTCATCTTCTTCCCTTCATTATCGTCATGTCCTAAATTATTTTCATGTTTCCTTCATTCTCCCCATGCCCCCTCCTCCCCATTTCTCCCCACGCTACCCCAATTTCCCCTCCTAACAACCTCACGCCCCCTACCCCCATTTCTTCCCCTAACACCCCTCCTCCATACGCCCCTCACCCCCATTCCACCTCCTAACACCCTCCCCCCCGCAGGCGCGGGTGCGGGAGTGCCTGGTGAAGCTGCTGAACACCTGCGGCCAGCGCGTCGGCCTCCCCAAGAGCCCCTCCGTGAGTTGCTCTCTTACTGCTCTGTACAATACACTCGTCACAGTCATCATACACATCACTATCATTATAGAGATCACTATCATCACAATGAAACGTTCGCAACACAACCACCATTGACATCGCTATCATCTTAATGAAGTAAACGCATCACACTCACCGTAGATATCACAATCATAATACACATTGAAATTATCATAATGATGTAAATTGTGGTGCGTGTCACGCGGTGTGTTGCACATAGTATAGTGCACGACCACAATCATGATATTCATCATAATGACAGTGCGCTACTTGTGGTGTGGTCCACCTGATGATAAACTGCTTAAAAAGTGACTGAAATATCGAAATGTTATTCGTTACTAAGTACAAGTTGACTAACATGGCAAGGAACCATTGGTAATGGACTTTTACTTTATTATGTCAACATAGCCTCTTATATTATGTCAACATAGCCTCCGTTATGAACATTTAAGTCTTAGAATGCCTAGCACAGTGAATAAGTCCAGCAGCTATCCGAATCAATCGTCAGCTATGGAAAGATCGGGTTCCAAAGGCCGGATCCCTTGTGAATCAAGTCACGAAAAGTTCAAGAATCGGCAACAGGCCATGGGCCTATTTCTTTACTGCCGACACTTCTATTCCTGTCTCTTATACACATCTAGATGTGTATAAGAGACAGGGTGTAGCTTTGTGGGTCAGAACCTCTTATGGGGCCCAGCAAGTCAAGTTATCAGCAGAACATCAATCAGCTAGAGAATCAGTGTGGTGCGAACT